AGGGTTTAGGGTTTAGGGCTGCTATCATCCAGGGTTATGTAGGATTTGACGGGTCAGGGAGTCTATTTTAGAAGAGCCAGTTTGGGGTAGCCTGTGCTGAAATGATACCATAAGGGACAGCGCCCCAAAACTACTCTAAGCAGCTTTGCTAGGTATGAGCATCCTACAGATAGATAGCCCAGCCAGGAAGACCACAAAACATCTGGATCCCATAGAATCCCACATCGTCTCAGCCTGGTCGTTGTGGGCCTCCTGCCCTCCGTGGTGACCTTTGGATCGGCGATCAGCGCTTGCGAGAGGCAGGCGCTCTGGCAAACAGCGACCTCACTGCTGCCACAGGTCGGGGCTGGGCTTACTGGGGGTACTGTTCAGGAATTGGGGGTCTACTTAAAGGTTCATGGGACTTAGTAACTAGACTTAGTAAGTAGGGTTATAATTAGGGCAACTATACTTATAACCCCAATTATAAGGGCCTTATAACCTTATTTACTAAGCCCCATGATCCTCCAAGTAGGGTTTAGGGTTTAGGGCCTCCCCAACTCTTGCACGAGTTCCTCAAACCCTGTTGAGAGCCTCTGAGGTGGACAGGGCTCGTTTGCGGTCGTCGGTCGTGGCCTACAACTCTGCCATCAGCTCCTGCGAGAAGGGGGAACACTGGCAGCTGGCTCTCTTCTTGCTGGGAGAGCTTTGCGACTTGGACGAGGAATGCTGATACAAATACTGACTAGGAATAATGCTGGTACTAATACTATTACTCATATTAATAGTAACACTAATCCTGACATTACAAGTAATAATAATACTAGTACTAGTACTCATACTAGTACTAATACTTGGCCCCCACGGCCCCAGTGCCCTTGGCCGCGAGCACCTACAATTCACCTGACAGAACGGTTCGATTGAACTCTGCCCCCAAAAAGACTTTGCCTCAGGTTTTGGTCAATATTAGCCCATTACAAGGCCCTTAGGATTATGCTTGAGGGGTCCTCCTTGTAGCAAACCTCTACTGAGCTAGGCTTTTAAGCCCGAAGCCATGAAACCCACAACGAACCCCTTAGAGGACAACACCATCGAACGGTTAACCCGACTTTCAGTCCTGAGCCTACCAGCAAAACCGTGGACCTCGAAACACTAACAACTAACAACCCGAAGCCCCAAACACCAAACCCTAAGCCCTAAGCCCTAAACCCTAAACCCTAAACCCTAAACCCTAAGCCCTAAACCCTAAACCCTAAACCCTAAACCCTAAACCCTCAACCCTCAATCCGGCAAGCGAAGAACCCATGGAAGGCGAAAGGCAGCTGCGGCCCAGCACGGTGACCTGCAACGCGGCCATCAGCGCCTGTGAGAAGTCCGGGCATTGGCAGTCGGCCCTTGGCATTTTGAGAGCCTTGGGGGCGATGGTCAGTTTTCCGTGCGTTTTTTCAAGCATCGATTCATGTTCAAGGGTTTAGGGTTTAGGGTTTCGGGTTTAGGGTTTAGGGTTTCGGGTTTAGGGTTTAGGGTTTAGGGTTTAGATAAGTTCTTTAAGGATTTTGGGGCCCTTGGGGTGTGTCGCGTTGGGTTTGAGGTTTGGGCCCATCTTCCAGGACGCCCCATGAGGCTTCCTACAGGGTCTGTGGGGTTCAGGATTTAGGAGTTTCCGAAAATAGGGACTGTAATATAGTACCCTAAAATAGTAGGACCCTTATTATAAGGACCCCAGAATAAGGTACCCTAATTTTCGGAAACTCCCATTTAGGAGTGGAGGCTTGCCTCCGGGATGTAGACAACAGGGCCCTCCCTTTTCTTTTCCTAGTGCTCTTCACTGTGTTGATTTTGCTGGCTGCTGGCTGTATAGGAACGGCACAGCTCATTCTGAAATTCTGAATCATAAGGTGACATGCATCCTCGGCAGCTTCCCCCCGATGTGATCACCCTGAACGCGTGCATCGCCGCCTGTGCCAAGGGCTCCCAGTGGCAGAAAGCGGAGACCGTCCTGCGCGAGATTCCGGAGCGAGGATGGGGTTTTGAAGCGAGGGTTCAGGGTTTAGGGTTTAGGGTTGAGGGTTTAGGGTTTAGGGGTTTAGGGTTTAGGGTCCAGGGTTTGGGGTTTGGGGTTTGCGGTTTAGGGTTTAGGGTTCTGCTTGGGGGTTTTCACGGGTAGTTTATAAATGGGGTTATAAGTAGGGCAACTATACTTTTAACCGTTCTATAGCCCATGTTAGGGGACTTATATGTGAGGTCTAAATCCCACTTATAACTTCCTAACCCTAAGCCCCACTTATAACCCGACATGTAACTACCCATGCAACCCTCAAGTGGGCAGTGAGGGTTTCTTCGTTGGGTTCAGGGTTCCGAGAGATCCTCGGGTTTAGGTTTTAGGGTTTAGGGTTTAGGGCTTTAGGCTTTAGAGTTTAGGGTTTAAGGCTTTAGGGTTTAGGGTTCAGGGTTTAGGGTTTAGGAGTTTAGGGTTTAGGTTTTAGGGTTTAGGGCTTAGGGAAACGAGGATGCAAGGCGCTTTCCAACCTTATTGACGGATCCA